TTTGGATTGAAAAATCTTCCTGGATGGAAGAGAAACGTCTTCAAACTTGGAAACAAAGTCTACAATATCAACTAAACATGTTGCTGCTGCGTCCTTAAATCTTTATTTTCTTGAATTTTTGCCCTCCCCTAACCCCCCCTCCCCATTAGTCCTCAGCCCAACCTCTATGTCATTTTATTTTATTGTTAAACCTTTTAAAACGTGTGGAGCTGTTTGTCGCTGATGCATGGACATATGGTGGCATAAAGTGGAAATGTGTCGGATGAAGTTCACTGTTTATTTTTACGTTTACTTTGCTGGCCTGATCAGAGTAAAAAGAGGAAATCGATTGGTGCACATACTTTTTAAACAATTTCATCCTAAATATTCCACCTTATCCCGTGTTTCATCAATCTCTCCTTACAAGAACAGCTCACATCCAATTTGTTTTTAATGAAAAAAAAAATATATATATATATATATATAAAGAGAGAGAGAGAGAGAGAGAGAGACATCTATATATAACAAGAAGAGATAAGCTACCTAGAAGTGACAAAGTGTTACTTTACAGAGAAATGTTTGTGATTTAACTAATATTTGGAAAATTAATTGCACTTGAATTTTCTACTTTGAAATGTTGGGGAGAAAATATCAATTTTTTTGTATTAGGTTTATTTCTGTGTTGTACTACGATGATGATGATGATGATGATGTTAGCTGTGGTTTCTGTCATGCTGTTCTGTCCGTCTTTATCAAAACTTCCACATAGTCAGAAACTATGCAGTTGTTGGAAGAACTAAGTACACTACTTTAATTAAATACTCTTGGAACCACCATCATCAGTTGTAGTCACTTTCAGAACGTATGTTCATCATTGTTTAATTCATCCGTTTCTGTCCCACTTTTCTTGACCGAATTAGAGCCAAATGACTTTAGACTGCAGTACTTTAATCTGAAGTGGAATTCATAGTCAACAGTGACTGTAATTTATAAAGACCTGTGGCTACAAAGGAAGCGCTCTGCCACCATGTCTTACAGCGAACCAATGAAATGTTGGGTTTTATTTCTCCCTATGCCGCTGTGCTCTACGGCCAAACATCACTGCTCTTGTCCAATCGGTCCACAGTACCAGGAGTATTCAGAAGCAGATTTGCAAACCTAAGCCAAACTTTTTTTTGGTATCATGCTTGTTGAGTCTTCATTGTGTTTCAGTGAATTGGATCATTTAACCAGCTATAACTTAGATATTTTCAGTATAAAGGTATATCTTTGGATGTTTCTTTTTTTTTAAGCTGGCAATAAATTAGTCAGGATGTGAACTCTTGGGGTAGACTGGACACTCACTGTAGTCGTTACCCCTGTTAAATATTCTCACTACTAGAAAATGATCCTCCCTTGAAAATCCAGTCTTGGCGATTTATGGACATTTATGGACATCTCTAAGGTCATTGGTGAAACGCATCAGCA